GCCCATCCAATCTCGATCGCGAACAAACCTAGATTGTTGATTTAAATTTTTATCAATTCAAATTTCACAATTTTTCTTTAATTTTCAGCATGAGAAAGCAAAAGACAAATTTTGTAAACATTGAAACTGTAATTTATTTGGAACACACACCATGTAAGTGTATGAAAAGGAAAGAAACACATTACACACAGATATATTCACACATTAATTGCACAAAATGGGGATAACAAGCTCAATATAATGCCATCAACAACAAACAAAACATATATATATATATATATATATATATATATATATAGGTCAATACACTTTATCCCTTTGGTTTAGTACTTTTTTACATAATTTTCCTATAGTTTCAAAAACTATACATAACCCCTTCATGGTTTGGATTAAAGTGTTAAAGTGATGGAATTGATCATTGTAATGGAGCCACCAAAAATATAAAAAATACTTTTTATGTAAAGTTGAAAATTATTTATTAATCAAGGGGGGTTATGTGTATATTTTGAAAATCATAAGGGAGTTATATAGTAAAGTATTAAATCATATGGAGATTATATGGTAAAATATAAAATCATACAGGTTAGTGTGTCATGTACTTATAAGGGTAATATCGACATTTTTAAATGTTCCATTACGAATGATCAATTACGTCATTTTGACACTTTAATTCAAACTATGAAAATGTTATATATAATTTTTAAAACTATAGGAGGATTATGTAGAAAAACACTAAACCACGGGATAAAGTGTAATTTGCCCATATATAAGTGCATTGCAGCTACATACAAATTCTATTAGAACTTGCATTGCTGAATTATTTGAACACAATTTGATCGCGATCCTGAGAATTAAGCATATATATCAAATCGTTGTGAATAAAGATGATGAGGAAGCCGAGGCTCAACAATGGTAACAAGCGGGAACTTCCTTGGTGTTGAAATCCCGAAGATTTCTTCCATGTCCAACTCCTCAGGATTCATATCACTTGGCAACTTCCAGTTGTATCCATGTAAAAGATTGGCCAAAGTGGATTGGACAACCTTAAGGCCTAAACTGTACCCCGGGCACATTCTTCTTCCAGAACCAAAAGGCAACAACTCGTAGTCTTGCCCTTTGACATCAATTTCCTTTCCAATGAATCTTTCAGGGTAAAATTCCTGGGGATCTTTCCACAATTCGGGATCCCTCCCAATTGACCAAACATTAATGAGAACTCGAGTTCCCTTTTGGATATCGTACCCTGCAACATTGCAATCTTCACGGGCACATCTTGGCACCAGCATTGGTACTACGGGATGCATACGCATTGTTTCCTTAACAATAGCTTCTACATAAGGAAGGTTTGGGATGTCCTTCTCTGTTACCCATCGGTTCTGACCGATAACCCGGTCAAGTTCTTGGGTTGCCTTTTTGAATAATTCTGGCTTTTTCAGCAACTCTGAAATGGCCCATTCGACTGTCATGGCTGAGCTCTCGGTTCCACCAACAAGTAGGTCCTGGAGTTCATTCATTATTCAAAAAGATTTCAGTGCAATTATTAGAGTTCTCGGAATAATTTCTACTTTTAGTTCCACTGAGTAGTAGTTCCTGGAGTTCATTCATTACGCAAAAGTGCAGTTATTGAAGTTCTTAGAATAATATATAAATATATATATATATATATATGTATATATATATATAGTACAAATAGAGCCACTATACTTGTGTGAATGCCTTGACTCCATGCCTCTCCAGTTTCACCTCCGAAGTCTGATGCTCCGCAAGGTCCAGAAGGACATCCACCATGTCCTTGCTTACCCGATTCTGTTCGTCATTCCTCATCCTGGCCACGTTATGCTCGTCCAGGACATGCTCTAGAAACCAGTCGAATTTCTTGCTCAGGATTTTCATCCTCTTAATATATCCCTGCAAATCCAAGAAATTCAGCCAAGGTATCGAATCACCAATGTTAAAGACGCCATTCAGCAAAAGAAGCTCGTCCATCATCTTCACGAACTCTTCAGGCGTGATGATTGAGTTCTGATCAGACTCGTCCAAGTATCTTTTCCCTAACACCATCCTGCTAATTACGTTCAAGCTCATAGTTGTGAGATAATCTTTCAACAAGACAGGCTTGCCTAACGATTGGAACAGCCCCAGAAGAAGTGAGTTCATTTCTTCCACACGAATATGTTCATAGGACTCGAGTCTTTTTGCGCTGAACAATTCCATGAGGCACATCTTACGCGCCTGGCGCCAGTATGCTCCGTAAGGGGACCACATGATGCCAGAGCAGTTATAGCTAGTATACTTTCCGGCTGCAGTTTTGGGCCTATCAGCAAAAGTGACGTCCATGGTCTTGAGGAAAACTTTGGCCATCATCATGGAGGAGCCGACCACAACGGGGAAGGAGCCAAAACGGAGGTGCATTAGGGGACCGTATGTTAGGGAGAGTTGATGGAGTGAACGATGGGAGAGGCTGCCAATGAGGTTTAAGTTTCCAACGATAGGCCAGGGCTTTGGACCTGGTGGGAGGTTGAGTTTTTTCTGATGAAAACGCCTACAAAAGAGCGCGATGACCATCGTGGCAAGCCATGCGACTGCGTAGGCGGCCCAACTGGTGGTGGGGGTCAAAGAAATCTCCATTTCTTTTGGTGTGTGTGTGGAAGGGTGTTTTAAATTTTTAATGAGCACGGAGCCTTGAAGGAACTAGCCGAGTAATTAACTACTAATGCCAAGAACTCATTGTTTACTATTATGAACGGTCTGTCGGCCAATGGTCAATTGAAATCAACGTTTTAAAAGGCAAAGGCATTGCAAATGGCACGAAAGGCCCAAGGCGCGAGGAATAAGCCCCGCAAATTTTTATTTTGAAAAAAATATATAAATATGATATATATTATTAAAAAGTCATTTGAAGATATAAATAAATATAATAAAATTAGATAAAATTAAAAAAATTTGTACAAATAAAGAATTATTATTGTATAACTTCAACTGATAATTTAAGAAACACGCATATTAACATTAGCTGCACCAAAAAGCAAAATAAGTAACATTACAAAAAGTTCAATCTTAAAAACAAACTAGTCACAATTCAAAAGTCACCACATTATCAAGCACTTAAATTACAAATGCATAAATTGAAGTAGACACAAAGTTCAAAGGTTAATTGTTTCAACAAACACACTTAACTAGTATAAAAAATAAAATACCAAATTAGCAACCATATTGCTTATAATACATAACAAGGAATAACACCAATAATTAGAAATAAACTGACAAATAAAATGATACTATTCATCAAAGTCAATATCATCCATGTCATCATCTTTATCTAGTGTATATACACTAGGTACTTTTCTTTCAATAGTTGGTGGTGGTTTTGAAATTTTCATCCTATCACAGGATCTAATCTACAGGTAACAACCTCATTTCCTTTATCTTTTTTGCCTAACCATATATTATATTACAAAAAAATTCATATCTAACTCATTCAATGTCTCAATATAAAAGGTAGTAAATTAGTAATAAAGTTGAATATTAAAAGGGCAAATTACATTTTAGCCTCATGTGGTTTTCGTAAAAACCACATAACCACCCCATGATTCAAAAAGTTATATATAAACTCCCTGTGGTTTGGGTTGAAGTGTCAAATAGACGGAAAGCACCCACCGTGACGTTTCGTAGGCAAAATGTCCAAATTACCCTAATATAAATACAAAAAGGAAGCAGATGAAGTCAGATTTTTCTAATTTTCCCTTGCATCTTTGTCGTGAGAAAGAGAGAGAAAAACATTACCGAGAATGAAGGAGAGAAAATTTAATCCAGAAAATTAAAACCATAGATCTACCATTGAAGATCAAAAAGTAGCTGTGAAAGAGTATCACGAAAGCTATTGTTGTGTCCGGTAAGTTTTTCGACATCAGCTTAGCATATGAGATGGAACTTGAGCATTTTGAATAGAAGCTGTCAGGCTTTGGGAATTTAATAAATCAGTGATTATAATGCTTAAGCGTTGATTAATTTAAGATTTTGCTGCTTTGGGACAACCTGTACTAGCAGTAGAAGGTAAAGAAGGAGAGGATGATGAAAAGGACGGAAAAATGGAGGGTTGGCACCACCTTACCAATCCAACCGATGGTGGGCTGTGGGAAAGCAAGCAGATGCAGGTGGTACACGTAATTCTTCCTGCCCAAATTCTGGTCTACCGAAACTTAGCAATATGACATCACTACCTTATTAATTGCAATTTGCCCAAATTACAGCCGATCTCAAACTTGCGAAGTACACTACTTGAGAAAGGTTACTTTAAAAAGGAAAAGAAAATGAAAAGAAGCCAGCTTCAATGTTGTTCGAATTATAATCGGAATTGTGTCATTGTCTGGTTAGATCTAAAATCCAGCACAGACGAGAGAGGTGGGTGGTGGCCTAAGCGGCTTTGCCTAACCTATTTGAAATTATGATGGTTACATGGCCGCCACCCCTGTGGTGCTGAAGCTGACTCATGACGGCCCTGCTGCGGCCCTGCTGATGCAAATTACACGTCTTACTATTGCTAGCGAAAGCTTTTCCGGCCACCACCGCTTTTGATTTTTTCTCAATGTATATGTTCTAGGCTTTCTGGTTTGGTTTCTCCATTAAATGTATTGCCTTCACCAACATTCAATGGAAAGTCTAACTTCAAAGCTCTTTCGGTTGATGAAAAGAGACTAGGAGGGGAACACTTTTCATGTTTGCCCAGTTATGCATGGTACATAATTAAATTTCAAGTTTGTCCAATTATTTAGGTTTTTCCAGTTATACAAAGTACATAATTGTTGCAAATTATATTAAGCTGAATCATAAATATTGTATTCACCCATTCAAAATTAGATAAAGCTGTGTCGTATTTATCCATTCAAAAGTTTCTAAAGCAATTAGCAAGAGTAATTTTCGATGATACTGTAACTGTGAAGTGGATCCATGTAAGCAGACTTGAGAAAATAGACTCTCATCTAGAAAGAAAACGAAAAGTATAATTGTAAGTTACGGACTTACTGGATTTCTTTCTCCACCAGATTTTACCATTAGAAAGCAGTATCAGTACAATATACTTAATGTTCCAAAAGGTATAAATTATAAAAATACAAAAAGCCTATGAAATGCCCTTTTTCTCTCAACTACTAACACCCATGAAGACTCCCTTTTTTAATGTAAATACTAAGAGATACAAGACTCAAACACAATCGGGAGTGGAGAGCTGCATATGCTTCCAATCTGTGATAAGATAAACAAGTCATTATCTCAAGTTTAGAACCTTGTTGATACAGCAAATGAGATACGATAAAGCAAATGAAATAGATATATAATGGAAATATTTTGGGTGCATGATAACAACAAAGAAAGGTATCAATACCTTTCAAAATGGCATTTGAGGCCAAAATATTCATCCACTGACCCAACAAATTTTATCACTTTAATCTTGTTTTCCTACAACAGTAGAAACTTATTCAAAAATGTTTTTGAATCTTGGAATTAAAATCACCAAAAGACGAAAGAAGTTCAATTTCTTTGGAATTCATAAAACGTAGAGACATAAAGAAAAGAATACAGGAACTTGTAGAATAGAAAACTTGCAATATTATTTTTTGAACTAATCTTGACTATTTAAATAACATAAAGTAAGAACTCACCAAGGAGGCTTCATACTCTTGTTTCATCAAATGTAATAAAACATCTCTACACCACCAAGTAGATACACAACTATTTATTTGGCTGAGTTAGACTAAGTATAAAAATTGTGTATCTCATGTTTAAAGGTTTGAAACTGCACACTTGTCAAATGGATTTAAACCAAATTTTGCATTCCCACTTGTGCTCCCAAAAAAGGACAAGATATTAATCAGCCAATATTCTGCACCTTTTTGTCATTACTTATGGGTTGTATATAAGTTCTTACTTGAATTCGAGAAAAGAAGAAAGACAAATTTTTTTTTTGTATAATACATACTGTATAAAAAAATCAATAAAAAAGAAAATGACAACTTCTTTAGTGCTACAATTTAAACATGTTTCACCTTTTTTTAAAAAGACATTTTTTAAACCGTTTCAGCCATTTAATTAGTTAAACCACTTCCTAAATTGTCAAGTCCTTGTGCTCCAATGAAACAGCAAAAGTGGCATGCCACTTAAGTTCCTAATTTATATTAAATCTACCATAGGAATTTTCTCGTCTTGATTTTTGTGCTTATTTTAGTAGCCAAAATTTTAAAGTCAATGATTAAAAAACTTATTTACATAACACGCCAAACATCTTACTAAAGCAAGTAGCACATTGTGGGCATAATCAAACATATTGATACAAAACTAAGAAAACAAGAGACCAAGAATTTAATTTCACTTACTTGAGTTATAAATTGCTATCCAAAAGTGTGAAATAGCTGGCTACCTATCTCTCATAGTAGACCACGTATGCATAAACAGTTGCACCTTTGCACCTTTATCTTGGGCACAATTTTCTTACTTCTATTTTGAAAAGAAAAAAAAAGAAATTTAGAACCAAGTTTTTACCATAGCCACGATGCACAGGTATTCAAAGATTCAAGAGTCAAAAGAATTAGCTTTCTGGATGATGCCCTTTGTGTCTTGCTTAGGAACCTTATATACGCTTCAATCAAACAAATTAAATTGCAGCAAGAAGTACAATTACTAACATGCATATCTTAAGTCATAACCATTTTCTTTTTTGTCAGGAAGAAATTACCTTATTTCTATGTGCTTTGGTAGCCATCAACTATGAGGAAAAAATGATCAAAAAGGATGTCCCATAATAGCTTAAACAAATAAAAGCTAGAACAAGAACAAAACCAAGAAAATGATTTGAGAAATCACCAAACAATAGAATCATTATGGGAACAAGAGGAGGTTCATCAAATAGAGCCGAGAAAGAGTATTCATTGCCAAGATATCATCAATATACATTATATTTAGTCATACTAACACAAAATCAATAAGATTCCAACATTACTACAATATGTCTTGTTTTTTTACAACTAAACACTCACCAATGGAAAAATTGCAAAGATAATCTGGCCGCAACCAATTGTTTTTTATTTTGTATTGCTAGCAAAACAGTCAGATATTCCCTTATATATGAAGTTTCACTTGGAGGTTAATCTTTTTATTCCCACAATCCATTTTGCAGTTTCAGGGAATGCTTCAATATGATGCAAAAAATACGAGAAGAGAAAAACATAAAAAATAAAAATGAAATAGGTAATCCACTAACTTTAAATCTAGAGGAAATAGGATAACCTTCCCAAACAATCATCCTCCACTTTTTTCAAGACCAATAAATAGGGCAAAGTGAGAAAAAATTTACAATAAACTACTACGGAGGGATGGGGGAAATGAAGAGAACACAAAAACATTAAAACACACCTTCATGGTTGAATGGAGAAAAGCAGCCTCCTTTTTCCTTGTTCCTTTATCTAGCAATAATATAGAACAAACAAATGCTGAAAAAAACAAATTAATTAGGAAAAAGAAAAGTCAAAATCAAATTAGATAAACTTTTTTCCAGGGAAAGAAACATAGAGTCTAAATAATGTGCACTTTGAGAAAAGAATTTCTCCAATCCTTTGTTGCATATCTTAATATCTTGTAATAAACATTTGGTACATATTAGAGCATAAAGGATACGAAGCAAAACAATAGCAACAAAGCCTGAGGATTAGCAGGAAGCAAAGAACTTGTGTTTGCCAAACCATAAATAGGCATTAAGCACTAAACATTTGAATGCATTTCCAAAGTTTCACATCCAAATTGATTAAGAAACCAAAATTAAAGAAAAAGCCAACTGAAAATCGAAAAAAGGTAAAGAAAAAACAAATCCAGATTTTTTCATCAAAGAAAACTATCAAATTCCGCATATGATAAATTTCAACCAGCTAGACCTCTTGTTTCTTTTGGGTGGTTCTGCTTGACCAGCAATGCAAAACATAAAGGACCGAGATTGGAACCTGAAATATTAAAATCTCAAAAAAAAGTCAACTTATATAATGCAAATACATGTTAAATACAAATACTAAAGCAAATCATATGATTTTTTCCCAAACAAAATCTGCTTGTTTGAAGCAAATCATGTCCACATCACGCCTGTGCTACCCTACGTTTTGCTATAGCCATAATAAAAATCTCTTCTATATGATCATAAAGTAAATGACATCCCAAAAAAATGGTAGAAATAAATCTTGGTGAATAAATCAACATGAGTAAATGTTTTTTACACCTGCAGTCTTCAAGGCAATAAAAAAACACTGATTCCTAAAGCAAAAATATTTACCCAAGCAACAGCAATATGTCGAGATCTAAAGGCACTAAGCCAAGTATAACTAAGCTAAACTTCTCTAGCAAAACTGCTGCATTAAGCAAATATGCAGCCATAATTTCCTCTTATACCTGTTAATGGTCTCTAAATACATGCTAGGAATAAACTCACCACATGTAATAGTCTTTTATACACACACATACACATACTTCACCATTGTTCTATAATAATCTGGACTAAACATTTTAATCTTTAGTCCAAATCAAAACATCATATGCAAAAAATAGATAGACACACAGACCAGCCATTTTTGTAATAACTAGTTATCTAGGTGTGATATTTCAAGTAAACCTCTTTTTGTTCCTAATACAAGAAACACACATGGAACAAAATGTTATCCGGTGATTAGCAAATGAAAGATAATGAACAAATTATACCTTAGCAGCATCTTTCAAGGATTTGTGGTAGAGTTCACTACTTAAATTCTGCAAAATGAGAATCAAGAACCACCAAAATAAATCAGCAGAATGTAGTGTTTTATCACCAAATTACATATACCTTAGGCAGCATCTAGTTAATGTTCATACAGAGTTGCTCTGTCAATTGACAAATCTTTAACATGCCTTTTATGCTTGTTCTTTCCCATGTTAAGACTTCTCTCACTCCACTGCCAATTAGTCCCACTCTAACTTATTTTTTGTAACCTGTTAACATATTAATTAGTCAAAAATAATCCTCTAATTGCTAAAAACACATGTCATACACAATATAAACCCAGAAGGAAAACCCGTCTAAAATAAGTTGCATGAAAAAAGGTAGGAAGGCTACTATTAACAAACTGTTCACTAATGAATTAAAGGAGTGAATTTCAAATTATTAGAGCCGATTTTCACATATCAGTTTCTACCATATATAATTGAGCATAGACATTTCTGATTCATGATATTTGTTCAAAATCTGGTATTTTAATAAAACAGAAGGCTGAAGGGAAAAAATCATCAGAAGATTGCACCTATATAATATCCAACCTCACACTTTTTCTTTTGTCTAAATAAATAGACCAACCAAAATATTATGGGTAAAAAACCTGCACCATGACAAAGATTACACATTCGTACTCATGGGGAAAAATCTTAAATAGAAGACCTCTCTAAGAGATTAGCATTTAAAAACAGATATTTTTCCTTTTGTAAAACTACAATAGAAGAAGAGATTATATAAGCACATAAAGCTTCTCCTTTTTATCAGTAAGTGAAGACCATGAGAAGAGAGAGGAAATTCATGGATAGAGGAACAAAGTCTTTCGGTTGAAAATCAAGAAAATAGGTTATAGGGGACAACTTTTTTCCAATTTTAGTTGCTATTTAACAAATTAACAGTTTTAACATTTTGTCAAACATTTGATAAATTAAACATGATTATATCATTACATTACTTTAAAACAGAAAAGGGGAAAAGGGAAAGAAGTAACCCCACGTACAAAAAGACCCAAAAAGTGGAGACCTATGAAATGCACAAATGAATCCAACGTCTAGTGAGGATTGATCAATTTTAAGTTTAAAAGGCTCAAGGAAACATGATAAATTTAAACTTTCCAAGACACAACTAAGAGGATAAACACTTCATGATAACCAAAATTGAAACTTACATCTAATATGTCATAACAAGAAATAAATAACAAAAAAATCCAAAGCAATCTCTTTTGCAGAGAAAAAAATAAAGAAAAGCAGAGTATAAACTGTAATCACATATACGCAAATAGAAGAAGGCTCGCTCAAAACATTCACCAATATTATGCAAAATAGGTTGGGAATATGTTGATCCATACCACCTTATTAGTAGTTTTTGAGAGAATCAAAGAAAATTCCAATTTTTGGACCTGCAACGTCACCAAAATATACAAATTATATAATCAAACATGGATAAGGAACTTTTTAAATCCACCAGAAATAACTTAATCAAATTTGTTAACTGCATTTTAATGTTTTTTAGTCACGGACGGAAAAGATGGAAATCAGGCAAAAGTAAGGGGAGGAAACAGCAAAAATAACTCTTCTTTTAGAAAATAACCATATAAAACCTACCTTCAAAAAAGGGGGGGAAAGCTCAGAAAATAGCATGAGAATGATGGAGGTAATCTGCAAATTTCGTAACTGCAACATCTAAACATTGCAAAAGGAAAAAAAAAAGGAAATTAAAAAAGAAGGAAAAAATACATAAGGCTAGAGAAGCTCTAGAAAAAGAAGGAAAAATAAATTTTGAAGCGAAGCAAAAAATTCCCAACCATATATTTGGTATTGTTGTCGTCGATCAGAGAAAATGAAGGATAAGATAGGAAAAGGAGCAGCTTCAAGAGGGAAGATAGACTTACAAAGTAGCATGAGAACGATAGAGAAAATCTCCAAATTTCGTACCTGCAAAATCGCAACATCACAGACAGCAAAAAAATAAGACAATCTAACCCGTAAAAAAGGGGAAAAACAAAAGGTTAGAGAAGCTCTAGAAAGGAGGAGGAAGAAGAAAATTTTGAAACAAAAAAAAATACCAACCATATCTTGGTTTCGTTGTTGTCGATCGGAAAAATGAAGGATAAAAGAGGGAAAATGGCACCGTTGGTGATGACGAACAGGAACAAGAAGAGAGGAAGAAGAGCTTTTTGGGGGAAAGAGACAGACATCGAAAGAAAGGAGAAGAAAAGGCGTTGGTCTGAGCTCTGATGTTTCTCTTTCTCGAGCCATGTGCACACCTGACACCACGGAAAAGGAATCTTTGGTAAATCCCAGTCTCTTGTACTATGCTTGGTTGATATAACCAAGTTCGGCGCCTGTCCAATTGTCAAACGGGCTGGACAACCATCAAGAGGAAAGAATCACGGGCCGGACGACCACCAATCATCCAATGGAAGCCAGCCACGTCAGCAATTGAAGCCCAATTGAAAACTTCCCCATTCCCGCATAGACTAGATATGTTAATGAGGAGCAGAGATCTAGGCTTTATTGGGTGCAATAAAATGGTCAGAGTCATATGGGAATGTTTCTTACTGTTACCAGTTGTTGAAGCGTGTTTAATCCACGAATCGTCACGGTGAGTGTTTTCTGTCTATTTGACACTTCAACCCAAACCACAGAGGATTTATGTATAGCTTTTTAAATTTTGGGGGGGTTATGTGATTTTTGCGAAAATGACAGGAAGCTAAAATATAATTTGCCCATATTAAAAAGTTAAAAACTTAATTGATGAAATTAAATCTTTTCTTTAAGACAGTTTTTGGGCATACACTTTTAACATTCCACTTCAGAGGCGCGTCCAAGCACCTGGGCGTACGCCCCGATAATACTTTCACCTTATCCGATCACTTCGGAGTAGTATTGGAACACTTCGTCTTAGGATTCGCCTCGCGAACCCCTTTTGAAATGAACTTATGTTCAAGTTAATTTAAACAATTAATCAACATACTAATCTCAATTTTGTTTGCTTGCTCGTTTTTAACATTTTTGCTTTCTGTGTATACAGGAGAGCATTTCCCGTGATCAGCTTGGTTGAATTATTGTGCAGATCCTCAAGTCTGCATCGCATGTTTAAAAGAAATTCCAATATATAGAACGATATAATATAGGTGTCAAATTTTTGATGGTAGTAGTTCCTCACAAGGAAATACTACCTCTATCATTGTATGGTGTCGAAGCGATTTTGTCCTTGAGGACTTGGAAACCATACCAGATCCAATTAGTGGTTGCATCAACAGGCTGAGATGCTATGCCTTAAGGCATGGGGTTCGAGAGTGCCTAAATCGCACAAGAAAAATGTGGTGCCAAAATCGATCAAGAGGCATTAATCCGGTCCAGATAGCTTGTTTGCCTCGAAAGTCTATAAAGGATCGACACGTAACAGAAGTTTTAGTGCAAAAACTAGACTGACGGAAGTTGCTAGTAGCTTAACTGAATAAGGACAGCACCTACAGGTCGTCCCGTGGCTCAAATTCATCATCCCGCAATCACAAAAATTCAGACAGCACCTACAGGTCGTCCAGTGGCTCAAATTCATCATCTCGCAACCATACAAATTTGTCCCCTGCAATTGCACGATCAGCTTGTTACCATCTTTTTTTATTTCAATAACAGCAACCATCCATCTTACTCTTATAACAAGTTACACTATAAGAGAAGGGAATTTCAAAGGAACTTGTATAGATGTTAGGAGGTGAACTGTCAATGCACTACTGAACTTTTTTAAATTTTGCAAAAAAGAAATTACAGAAGAAGAGAATTCAAAGAGGCTCGTATAGACATTAAGAGGCGAACCACCATTACATTATAGAACTGTTTAATTTTTGAAAGAAGGGAAGCACTGTAGTACTTCTTTGTGGTGCATTAAGCGCGATTTAAACAGGGCACTATATCCGAGCAATGTAACGAGAATTCCAAAGATTGGTACAGCGGTCTATACCAATGGAATGGTAAAGGTGTACGGAGGGATGGAATGTAGACGGGAAACCAAACACGGAAATGCAGGGGGTTTTGTCCTGCCCCGTGTTGGAGATTGATTACCGGATGTCTAAAAAATCCGTACAGGTGAATATGGCAAGGACCCGGGTTATTAAGAGAAAATGTGAGGACCACATTGGAAGCCCATTGACATGATTGAAAGTGAAAATTTTGTCAGTACGCTTTTTTTTTTTTTTTCCATATAGGGAGTATCCCAACTTTGTCAGATTAATCTCCCTGCACCTATGCATCCCGCCCTCCAAGAATATATAAGCGGTAGAAAGGTAACTTGAATATACGATATCGGAACCTAATTAGGTTACCCCAAAACCATCCGAGCCAACGCCAAGAAACAAGCGATCTAGGCTTCTGCCAGGTCCACATAGCTCAGCTCTTCGCTTGGAATAGCTCAGTACTTGGTTGTTGATTATGCTAGTAGTAGTTTTTTTTTTTTTTTTAATCGGAGGTTGTTACCTCTGATGAATAGGGTGGATAGGGAAATTGCCCGAGCTAAGAAGCTGGACTGGTTTCGTTTAGGATCCTTATTCCAAGGTCTCGAGTTTGAATCCCAGTAGTTACCGTCTTGGGCAATGGCTGGGTCCAACTTACCCAGGCATTGTGAAATTAGTCGGGTGGAGACCCAAATACTTACAGTGTCGATAAAAAAAAGGGTTGATAGGGAAATTAATGATAACGATTAATGTCTTAAACTAATTATACCAACCGTGGTAGGAGGAAAAAAAAATAATGAACGTAATTAAGTAGGACATGTGAATTATAGTGAAGAATAGGTACAAGGTAATAAACAGAAGGGGACGGGGGAAGTTTAAGAGCCAGGGGAAGTTTAATTGAGGAAAATACTAAGGCGGAAGGTGCATTCAGCAAAGCACATAGGAAGGAACATTGTTAGGGAAAAAATAAATAATTGGATTTTATATATGAGTAAATCTTGCGGATAATATATATACTACTACTATTTGATCCATGATACATGTGCAAAAGTTGGATTTCAAATTTACATTTTTCATAACTATCATTAATCCAAAACTAATAGTGCATATACTGTTAGTGTAGGAAAAATTAATTCTTTATATATACATACATATATACATGCATACATTCATATATATATATATATATACATATGTTAATAACCGGATTATATGGTTGCTAGTATGTTTAAATATGTCTTAGAAGTTGACAAAGTATTACAGTAATCGGTAGAAGTGAATGTGTTAAACAATTAAATATAGAGAATTTTGAGGAACTAATTAAGGAGACTAGAATCGGAGTAATTAGAGGCACATTTAACTGGATTGCAGAACTTGTAATTTGAGAAAAACGCAAAAATTGAAATAAACTATGAAGTGGCTAATACTGATCCTGAATGTGTGTACTAGCAGGTGTTCCGGATGGTTAGTGTCAACATTGTTTACATTTTAAAAAAATCATTAATATTGAAATAAACTACGAAATGGCTAGTATTAGTACTGAATGTGTGTACTCGTAGTTGTTCTTGTTGTACTGTTAACAATGTTTCCATTTTTGAGATTGATTGCTTGTTACAGTGGTGAGATGTATGATAACGAAAAAGGAGGGAAGGAAAAAAAAAGTGCAAATGGTTGTATAATATTAACTGGTTAATACTATTTAAGTTTCAACGAGTTTATTTGTTAAGTAAAATTACTCTTTGCATCCGAAAGATAGCATGATCAAAGAGTTATCTGCCAACTAGATAAGAGAACCCTGAAGTTCTCCATTGAACGGCAAGTGTCAATGTGTTATTGGAGGAAACAGTTTAGTTTTTCAATTTTGGGGTTTAAGGAGTGAGAAATGTCTATTTGAGACTTAGTATCCAAATTCATAGGCTTAATAGTTCCTTACTATTTTGGGGCTAATTGGAAACAATGATTTAATTATTTCATTTGTTTCTTTTGTTTGCTTCTTAATTGATGGGAAAGGTCAATTGAGTCATTTTATAAAAATTAGCTCTTTAAATAGTTGCTAACTATTTAGGATTATTTTTGTATGCTTGAAATTATTTGCTTTATAATTTTCTGGTCAAATGCAAATAGTTGTAGATTATTTTGGGCTACTTTTATTACATGGGTTTTTTTTTTGGATTAATTAAGATAATGGAGCCAGTCAAATTAGTGTAAGTCATGTTAGGCCTGTTAGTTAGTGAAACATCCAAATTAACAAGAGGTTAGTCTAACACTTAGCCCTAATGAGATTCTCTCTTAATCATCATTTTTATTCGTTGTTTAGGTTTCAGATGGAGAACTTCCTTCCCCTTTCTTCTAGTGAGATAGATGCCTACCAGCATGCAAAATCTTCACTTTTCTACCAATTCCTCCAACAACTAATTGTACTTGCTTTTGATTGCAACCCAAAAACTCCTCCATGTGCATGTGAAGTTTTATTTTGCCCCCAAAATCAGCTTAGTGAAATTTTCTTTTCCCCCAAAATCAGCTCAGTTTAGGGATGAATGCTGTACCAATTCATCAATCATTTTTGCACTGGATTTGAATTTGGCATTGAAAATCTCCTCTTTTCTTGCTATTCGATTTGAAGCTCTGTTTACTTTTAAAAAGAATTTTCAATTATGTATGGTACAGCTTTCAGAACCTACTACTTAAACAAAAGGGTCATAGCAACCCATTCATATACCAGTAATAATTATAGGAGGCCCGCGACCCACAAATTAGGGGATCTCCCTCCCTAGACCGACTAGAAAATTGAAATCACTAGTTGGTTGGTTTCTCGACTGTATTAATCAGTTTGGTTTTAGACTTGATAATTAGCATGACATCCTTAAGAAGAGCTATAAATATTGTAGATTCTAAGAATTTTTTAAATAAAGGTACATTTAGTAGGGTAAATAGCATCATTGTGCAAAGGTTGTTTATATTTAGTGGCACACGATAAGCATATCTACAATCTATTAAAATTTTAAAATTATCACATAGTCCTTGAATTAAGTACTTTAGCAGAAAAAATTTATTTTTGCACCAATAAAAGAAACTTCAAAACCACTACTTGAGGGATGGCTACTAGTGTTCAGACACCGAATAAATTTATTAGGACATGGTAAAGCCACTTGAGAAAAGGTTGAAACTTAATGTTGATCAGTCTTGGAAAAGAGGGAAGGCAGGAGGTTGAAAATTTACTCAGACCATGCTGGCAAATCTGTGATCCTGATGATGTTGAGCTTCCCATTCAGTCCAAAGTCAATTTTAGCTTCTCACAGCCTCCTCCACATGAGGTATATT